GATCAAATTGTTGTGTCAAAGGCTAGAGGTAGGGCACCTCGAACCAACCCTTCTCTCGCAATGGGCAGCCGGAGAATGTCATCTGCCCTCTCGACTTCATCAACAATACTCTCTAACTATTATTATTACTATTATTTCCACTTTCTCTCCCCATCTCAGCACACTACTTCCAAGTTTTTGAGCCAAAGACTGCTACTGGCTTCGCAGCTGCTACCAGCGACATATGTAAAGCTTCCATCAAACCTAGAGTTTCATTTCACTTTGGATTTTCTATCCTCCACAGTTTAGGTCAGATGGGCCAGCAGGCAGCACTAGCTCTCAGTCTTCACTCTATTGCTATTAATGTGTGCTGTCTCCAAAACGCGCATATAAGATAACAGCGTCGTGACGAATTTTCGACTCCCTGTTTCTGAATCTTACGACCATGACGACACTCTTCGCGTCTCTGGTGATACCGAGCCCCAAATATGTTGTTCGACATCGAACCTGTATTAGGGTTAATAAGCAGCGTCTGCAGACATAGTGCCTTTCCTCGCCTGAGTTTATGCCCCTACGGAATTCAGTTCAGAGGGTATAAAAGACGATTTCTACAGACAGCTCCCATCTCTCCTTCGCGTGGTACTGACAGCTTGATTGCTGCTGATGACGTGAATGTCCAAGTGGGTCGTCTTTCAGACTATGAACAACACCTGGGAGACCGCTTCGAAGTCGATGCACACCGAACAGACAATGATGATTGGTTCCTGCAACTGTGTGTCGACCACAACCTTTACCTTAGCGCCACTGCTTTCCAGCACAAACGCTCGCATCCCGTCACCTGGCGCCCACCGAATCCTTCCATGACATGGAGCCAAATTGAGCATATTGCCATGAGCTACAGAGGACGCTCATCAGCTCGAGACTGCCGGTCTATTTGGAGTACATGCCTGGATTCCGACCATGCTTTAGCGTGCGCACACTTGGCGCTTACTTTTCGCGCTTCAAAGAAGCGCATATCTTCTAACCTTACCTGTAACGTGAACTTGCAGTCGGCAGTTCAGCAATATCATGACGAACTGACCCACAAATTGTCACTGAGGAACGAGGTTGGTGGGCCAAACGCTGACTGGGATCGTCTCAAGTGTGCCATGTAGAATACCTATGACACATGCTGTGAACCCAATTTGAGACGTCGTAATTGCGAATGGCTCTCTGAAGCATCGGATAGCTTGATCGAAGCACGAAAACAGGTTCCGATGGACACTGCATTTCAGCGTGTCCGTAACGCCCTGAATCAACATCTGACAAGGAGTCTTCGAATTGACCTGGAACGTTGGTGGGTTGCAAACGCCCGTGAGATGCAGCAAGCCAGTGCTTATGGGCACAGCCGAGTGCTAGTCCAACTCATCCGGAACACGAGCCTGAGAAAGCCGTCAGTTAGCGATACAATAACTGAGTAAGATGGGCAGTTGATCCATTCTCAGTCTCGTCCACGTGGTCGTTGGGCAGAATATTTTGGGGAGCAATTCGGCATGCTTGCTACAACACTGCCACTGGCCGAATCGAGTAAGCCGCCTTGAGAAGTGGATGTCACGCCCCCACATTCGATTCGACATTTGCTTTCCGTGTTGAAACGAAACAAGGTTCCTGGACCAGACAACCTTCCTCCATGTTTGCTGAAAAATTGTGGTGACTCTTTGTTGACTGGAACAGTGAAGAGGTGCCTTCAGACTAGCGACTCTCAACTGTCTTGCCCATCTTCAAGTAGGTACAGCGCACTCTGTTTGAAAATCATCGAGGCATTAGACTTGTTTCCTTTGCATCCAAACTTCTCACGGGTCCCATTCTCCAACGACTTACCGGTCCCCGTGAGAATCGATTTACAGAAAGCCAGGCTGGTTTCCGCCTTGTTCGTGGTTGTATCGATCACATATTTACTCTTCGCCAAGTTTGCGAGCAGACACAGTTACAGACGACCAACTATGGTGGTTTTCCTTGACTTGAAAGCTGCGTTCGACTCGGTTGATGGTGCCAGCTTCTGGCAATGTCTATCCATGAAGGGCATGCCGGTTAATTTCCTTTTCATTATGCTGTCTCTCTACCGTGACTCCCGAAGCCGTGTAAGGTTCTACGGGAAACTGTCTCCTGAGTTCCCCACAGTAAGTAAGATTCGCCATGGTTATCCAATATCTCTTTTTCCCGTTAACTTTGTGATCGAAATGATTATGAATGACTCGGTTCTTTCAGACACTACCAGAGCGGAAGTTATGACAGGTGACCGACTAACAAACCTGGAGTATGGGGATGACATTGCTATTTGGGTCTGACGCATTGACTATGCAAACACTACTGGGCAGATTGACGTGTACCGTTGCACGCTTCGGCATGCGCTTTGTACCTTTATAGTGCAAAGAACCGCCAAAGAACTGACACACCACCGGTTTCACTTATCAGCGAACAGCCACTGGAAATGGTGGAGCGGTTCACTTACCTTGGTAGCTGTGTCACCTCTGGTGCTCACATCACTGAGTATCATTGCGTGTCAGCAAGGCGGGATGTCATCCTTTCAGTGAAATTTAGGATGTATAATACTGCGGTAAGGTCTATGTTGCTGTATGGATGGGAAACCTGGCCAGTTGGTGGCGAAAACTTTACACGCTTGGCCTGTTTGGTCACCGGTGTTTGCGGAGTATTGCGCACGTCTGCAAGTAACACCTGATGAGCAGTGCTAAGGTCCGCCAATTGGTTTTTGGCAAGAGGCGTTCTGGTGCCTCACTCGGGTGTTTGCTGAATCTAAATGGCTTCCTTCAGCTGCGCCATGTCCTCTGTATGCTCGTTGTCCGGCTTCCTCGGCGGGCTTTATAGGCCGTGAATGCACCAATTTGGGCGAAACCACGAGATGGCCAGTCCAGGATGTGACATATTGGCATATATAGGCACAGTGTGAGTTGTGGCAACTGAATCCACCGCACGGTGGTGCTCCGGCCATAGTTGTTTAACTGAACTGTACTAAAATAATGGGTGTAAGGTAAAATATCGTCCTTTTCACGCTGTCGTTCCAGATTCGCGTATTAGCTTTCCCAACTGACGTTGATTGGATTACAACCACCAATGAATTCGCAGTTTAGCTCACATCTGTTTAGAACGCTACGAGACCAAAGAGTCTGTCCTACGCTATATTTTCAGTGAAGGAAGAGCAAATGAACTGCTCAACATCATTATTCGACCTACCAGTCTCTGATGCCTGGGTCATGTGTTACGCTTGCCAGCACACCGACTTCCGCGACGTGCGTCATTCGTGGAGCCACGGTTTGAGTTGAAACACAGAAAGAGCGGACAACCGATGAATTGGCAAAGAGAAATGAAACCTTTCAATTAGAAGTTGACCTCGGTTCGTACCTTCCAACTTTAGGGATGGATGGTCTAAGACGACGATTGGTTGGGTACAATTATTGACATGACGAACAACCGATGGGGAGTTTCGGAGCTACTCTCTTTTAATACTGTAATCCACAACCGACCGGTTTCGTCCTGATTTGGACACGTCTGGTGGAGATACTTTGCGCTGAGGAGCGGAGTCCAAAACAATGGTTGACGGATTTCGTCTTGATCGCTAGGCCAGAGCTCCACAACATCACTTGACACAGATCGGTTAGAAGTTCATTGTTGGGTCTTGCAGGACCCGTCGTGTGTCTGGATTGCCACACGCATTCGCGAATGGGACTATGGGTTGCTTGGAAGCAAACCACTGCTATTTCGATCAATGAGACCGCATTCGAAACGGAGAGTTTCGGAGCTGCTCGCTTGCTGAACACTGCATTCCACGACCAGCCAGTTTCTTCCTGATTTAGTCTTTTCAAGTAGAAGTAGCTTGATCTGAGAGTTGAACCCGACACAAATGTGACTGACGGCTTATGTGATAGCCACAAAACCTGAACTTCACGAGCAGTTCGTGACACAGCGGTTAGACTTTCATTGTTGGGTTTCGGAGTACCAGCCATGTGTCTGGATTACGATAAGCAATTTCATCTGCAGCTATGATTAACTTTAAAACATTTGGGTCACTGAGACAGCATCCGAATTGGCAGAACTTTGGCTCAGTGACCAAGGCGTATGCCTTCAGCCAGTATGAATCGGGTTTCACTCTAAGATCAGGTTATTTCTACCGGTTATTCACAAGCCTTCTAAAAGGGTAACTTCCTGATCGATTCCAAACGTACTCTAGGCTATGGGCAGCCTACTACTACTTGTGTTTCCTATTTCTTGCTATATTTTTCAATGACAATTAGTTTAATCATATTGCTGCACAATAGCTAAGGTGTCTCATTCATCTAGCTAAAGTGTAGAACGGTGATTTTATTATGAGGTGTTCATCGATGAGAAAAGTGCGAATGCCATTGATAAAATGTTCCTTTTGCACAGTTACTGAGACTGTCTTTTAGCAATTGGTTCCACTATTGTTATTAAATCATCGTGCCATTATGTGTTTTTAAACCAAGAAAGTGAATCCATTCTCCACTATATTTGGCTTTCAATCGAAAAGTGTACAATGCTGTTGGTGAATAGACTGAGGTTCATGTTGAAACTAAGAACCGTTCTTACTTTATCCATCAGCTTTCATAGTTTCGTCTGAGAGATTTAACCCCTACCTAATTGGAGCCACTAAAAACTCTACAATATGAACAGATTCTAACACTAAAGCCAAAAGGGGGGAGCGTGCGATGTTTATCCACTTCGACTCCAGTTCGAGTAATGTGCCGAGAAAAAAAGCTGGGCTTTTGAACAAACCATTACCCTGAGCAATTTTTGAAAACTGCTGGTCCTGAGTATAGTTAAATTCCTTCATTGGTTATGCTGCTTCTAGGGTGTATCGAAAAGCAGAATTATGTTTACAACGCAAGCAGAAAGCGCCACACAAGATGCATTGCTAATTGACGGGTACTTCGATGGGCGGCACGACACATTCATTGCATCGAACAGCACCAACAGTTATACGTCAAATTCAGCATGGATCGTCTTACCTGACCACCGCTAGAAGCGGCGTCCGTGGGATAGTGGATCCTCATTTGACCAAATTCTGTTCTTGCTGGGCTTGGACTATGATGGGAATGCCACTCTCCGGAAATGCGATTGGCCAGCGGAACTCGATGTGCAGATCTGCTTTGCTGAATTTGACTCTCCTTCTCTCTGTACAGAAGACGAGAAAGACTTAGTCTGTTTAGGCTATGGACAGGGTGTCATATATAAACAGTTGGAATGTCTGATATAGAAGCAAATATTGGTAGAACAGGTTGTTCAATTGTCGGATGAACTGTTCTCTGAACTTGGCAATTATTTTGCAACATAACTGCTAAACTCATGGAACATTTCATCTAACAATTAGAGTACCTGTATGATACTTGGATGGGTAGGATGACTGGAGCCATGGCTTCGTATTCATGTTGAAAAGATGAGAGCCAAATTCTCTATGGTGCATAAGTAGCAAGTCAGCTTCCATGACTGTGTATGTGTTCCACATCATGAGAGATCTGGGGCTTCCACGGAACTTTGTGTCATATCATAAATCTTTCTTAGAGAATTGCATAAAGCCTTTTTCTTCAAGAAGTATAAACGGGCAGAAACAAGCAAAATAGATATGAAATCATCCGAACGCCGTTTATTACACACACTAGCATTTGTCCACACTCCCCATATTAGTGGTATGTTCAACTAATTCGAAATGGAAAGTAATCAACAGCAACAAAAAATCGAGAATTTAAGTGGTGCAGGTCATGGTTATTTGCAAAGATATAACTACTCACGTGCCGCACAATCCGTCGCTAACATATGTCAAAAAATCCATGTAGTTGCTGTCAAACTCAAGTTGTTCAAAACACTCACTTGTCCCATCCTTGAATAGTGCAACATCATTTATGGTAGCATGCGAATGGTTGACAGGAAAGAGAAAATTTACAGAGGTCATTCCACGAAAGTTTGTTCAGTGACCTATCTAACCTAAAACATCCTAAACATTTATTTTTGAGATTTGTCGCAACTAGACAGACAGCCTGCACACATTCAGAAAAGCACTAGACGGTCGTTATGCCCTATCGCGACTCATCAGTAGTACGCACCCGCCGAATCCTGTTGGATTCGAACCCTTGACCTTGTTCTTACGAATCAGTGACTTATGCCACTGAGCCAAGGGTGAGTTGCTCGTGTGGCATAAGTCGCTGATCCAACAATAATATGCAGGTTGAATGCAGAGCTACCGGAAAATCCGCAGTGGGAAAAAAGCATGCGTGCATATCGTTGACATCCATGGAAGACAACACTTCCGGACACATTAATGAACGATCCAGAGAATCTGTCATTAGCACCTATGACATCGCACAGTAACGCATTATCCACACTTTCAAACTCATGTACATTATCTGTGGATGTTACCTGCGTGCTCTAATCTACCAGTTCATATGGGGCAAGTCATATAGGCAACAACACGATACCTTTTACGGAAGGTGTCAGCGAATATCACCCAGCGTGGCTAGGCCATTGAATGAACTAGACGTGAACCAACGCAATCTACACAGACGCAGTCCAAACGAATCATCCCTTTGTTATCTCAGACTTCTGTCTCATCTAATGTGTGAGGGATGCCCATTCCAAACTACTCAGATGCCGAATCCTTGCATTGGTGGAGGCGCTCACTATTCGTCTCAACAACTCGCCGTTTTTTGTGTGCGCTAACGATTCAATTTAGTAAAATTAGAGTCTGATTGCTATACGTGAACATGGATCACAGACTGACAACAGTCAAGTTACGCGTTCGAGCCCCGCGACGGCCAACTGGAATGCCCACTGCTGACAATTCCCTAAAGGATGCAACAGCCATACAGGTCTTTTCCAGACATGTACAGTAGTTGTCTGACTGAGTCTAGATGTGACGAATTTATACTTATACGGGGAACAGTTCGTGGGCCGTTCCTTGGTCGACTGTCTCCTGTGCAGTTGCTGTGTGTGTGCTCACACCTCACTTCTATATCCAATTAGACACTGCGATTATGTACTCCCTTAATTCATCCTTTGTGATGAACCACCAAAGAGGAGATAGTTTGCCACACCATCGTTTCATGACTGGAACAGGTAAGAAAAGATTTCCGCTCCGTTTGAGGGAGGTCAACTGCCTTTCACCCATTGGTGGACAGGGCACAAATATCTAGAACTAGCGTATACTATTCTGAAGTAGATCCCCACAACTAGTGACTAGTCGTGGTCGTACTTTAATTGTACTCATGGTGCATTGACTTGAGCAACCATATCCATGTGTTTGAGTCGTATGGATTACCTGAAAGTATGCGCTACTGACAAACGACCAGTACTATGCATCTTCTCTCCACAGCTACGCCAGACGTGTGGCGACCACCAGACTAAATGCGACTGAGACGCATTTCTTCACGTGCAGGTTCAGGTGACTGTCTTCAATCCGGTTTTGTTGCTTAAAGGTAATTGTTGATCACTCGCACTACTAATATACTTCGTAGCGGATGAACTGAGTCTGTATAGGATAATGCAAATGACGAGACGTCTTTTGTGCCCTGGTCTCAAGCGGATGCGCTCAGTATGCATTTTGAACCCGTGGCAGCCAGTCACTTTGTGATGAACAGGTCACACTCACTCCCTGGACTTGCAAGCAGAACCCATTTACAAAACTCCGCGTTTATCAAAATCTGAGACACTGTACATAATTCACATGGTACAGGTTGTGCGACACTGGATTGGAGGTGACTGGTCAGCCGATTTGAGAGAAGAACCAATGTGCGTGCAGTTGACGTAAGTGCTAGAGGTTATCCTCTTCGATGTAGAAGATCAGGTGTCTGAAAATATGAACGAAGAGTAACAGCGCCCCTCAAGGTGTGGCGGAAATTCCAACATTCTATGATCCACTGAACGTCCGTGTCGCGAATGCCTGGTGTTGATGGCGGTTACCATGACTCTACAGAATGGTGAGAATCGGTCTCGAACACAAATCTCGTTGGATAAGTGTTACTTAGATCAGTCAAATTATTTGTCATCGCCCTGGGGAGCGCACAAGTACACGTTATACCAGCAGTTCCCTTAAGTCAACACCATAAAAACACGGGACTCGCTATAATTTACGGTTGAGTAATGATTAATGTTTCACGAGGATGTCAGTAAGCTTTGGCAGTAGGGTATCGAGCCCTAAGAACCTCTTTTGCTTCGAATGACATCATAAGCGAATACCTGATGCGATTAACTATTGTCAAATCGGATAACGTGGGGTGCAAGACGATTTGGAAATCATAGTAATGATCGAAGTTCTTTGGACATCTATGCTGACAATACATTAATTGCGCTTTATCCCACTGCACTAATGATTGTCCCGAGTGCATCAACTGTGTGACATTTTTCGTTACTAACGCTACTGTGGCATTCACGCAGCGCAACCTCACTTTAGCAGTGTGAACCGTAGGAAGACTTTCCTCAAATGAGGACAAATACGCACAATTCACCTGTCCATATAGTGTATCCGCCGGAAACATTTTTGACTTCATACGGGGAAACTTAACCTCTGAACCGGTTTCCTTCTATCCGAAATACACATCTTAGGTAGCATAATGGTGAGTAGCGATTTCGTTGTTGAGAATAAAACACATTCGACTTTCAAGCATAAACTCTGGGGGCAAATGGAATATTTGTTTCTGGTAGCTCGTAGCCAAAGCCTGTTAAATTCAAAGAAAGTTTCCGCCGATGAGTTCACGCCAAATGGTCGTCTTATGACCCCGTTTCACTCATTTGAGAAAGACAACCCACCAGGCAACCGAAGACGTTACCAATCAGTCTGTTTTGCAAAGTAAGTCGCTGCTGAGTTACGAAGCATTTGGCCAAATAGGCTATGCGTCGGGGACGCTTCGCTTCACCCTGTCACGTGTTCATCTGTGCTGTTTTATCCAATCAACTGGCGACCCAGTTGCAATTGATTTACGATGGTCGGAAACAAGCGTTCGGTGCTTGGCTAAATGTCTATGCGTGCAAGAACCCGGTAGCAAATGTATCGACGAAATATTGCACGATTTAGTTAGACCTGGCAATTTCAACCATAAAACGTTTTTATGTGATCGGTAATGCGGTCATACGGTTACAGTCTGCACACTTTATATAAGATGCATCAAAATTCGTTGTAATTTGTCGGCGATATCACACTAAACAAACGCTGTCTATACTGTTTCACTGGATAGTATAATTAAAGGAGAATATGACAGCTTCTTGTCACCAACCTAGTAGGTTCACAAAATAGACCACGAGAATTTAGTGCATGCTATATGGGCAGTTGAAAGTAGAATTATTAACTACCACTAAGCCCACCTTGTTTACGTACCATAGGAGATGTACTCATGAGTAGGGGATTTTGATATAATTAATGGAGGATTCATCGCAGCGTGAGGGTTTCTAAATGCTATGTCGTACATCGCTATTGTCAGTGGACGTCGTGTCTTTCGGTGCCAACTCTGTCCTCTGCAACACTCGTAAATTGTATGGCATTGGAGGATAAGAAGCGCTATAGCGCAGTTAGCTTGCAAATCATGACGGTCCTTAGCTGTCCCCGTGTCCCAGTGGCATAAACTGTTGACTGGCGGTGGAAGCCGCTGGTGAGCATGGGTTCGAATCCTAATGGACCCGATGAATGCGCACTACTGATGATGCCCAACGGGCTAAAACGGCAACCTAGCGCTTTTCCGGGCATGTTGAGGACTATCTGATTTGGAACTGGCTGCAACGAACCTCAAGTAATAACATAGCACCGTTTAAAACTGGATACAAAGTTTTCAAGGACTTACTTGCGACGTTTTCGACTACTAAATGGGTAGAAGAAAAGAGATAAAGAAAAGTAAATGGTGAGTTGTTTGGTCGACCGGAAATGTAAATTTAATGGATTCATATAGAAAATTGTTAGAAGGAATGAACACTCTTGCATCGTTCTACGCAGGAAACACTTGGAACAGCCTTACAACGCCGTACATATATATATATATATATATATATATATATATATATCCCCGGCGTGGCT